GTAAAATATGGTTAGGAGAGAACTCATATGCACACAATCGAGCTAAATAACGCGTACGACTGAGGGGTACATAACTAAAGGTGATTTAATTGCAAATCGGATGGTGTGGGACGATAAAAAGACTTGTTAAAAGTTATAATGCATTCAAAGTGCGTCCATTTCTTTCTTAGAAAGTTTTAAAAAAATGAAAATTAGCCATAAACAAAAGGCATATATATCTATGCATATACAGGTAAGACATTTATATAAGTGGATAATAAAGGGGGAAATATGACCATAAACTATGAAAGATTAGTTGGTGTCGTAGAAAATATAAGGATAATCAGGAAAATAAGTTGAACTTCGGGTGCAAAGATTGAAATAAGAGAATGCACAAAGAGGGCCTGAGTTATCGGAGCATATCACAATCATATCTAAGATGCTCATTTTAGGATCAAGTAAAAAAAGCAAAACTTCGGAATGCAAATAAACTACTACTACTAAAACGTATATTGCCTGAATACTAACCGTAGCCACCTCTATTAATACATCATAACACAGCACTGCAGAACACTGTTATAGCATTTTCAACGAACCTTCAGATCTCAAATGATTTATCACATAGATAAAAAGAGACTGAGCACATAAGGCATAAAAATTAAGGCACTAAAACGAGGAGAGAAAGGATAAGTGTTTAGGACTTATTCTGACTAGACATTCAAATCATGATTTTATAGGACAATGACATCTCATTTCATTTCATCTAAACCTACACCACCGCATATTATCTAACTTTAATTAAGAGGCAAGCATTACTAGGAATTTTTTGGAGGTGAAACAGCCCTTACTTATTTTTCGTACAAGTGGAGTTTCGAGATTGCCACTAAATCAGTTGTATGAGATGCATTCAGCCTATTTCGTTTAAGGTGATGAAGGACTGGTAATAGAATTCTCCCACAACTATATGAGTAGAGCTGATGCTTCCATTGAATTTCACATATCCTTGTTTCCCAAAAGTTGTTCTCATTCAGAGTGGACTGCAGTTTCGATCTCGCCTAGGTCTTATCAACACCCCTAGCGGAAGTCGAACAGTGACAGTGCAGCATGTGAGCTTGACATACTAACCACTCGGCCACATTGCCACCAGTGTCCTTGGGTCACAGGGCCGATATGCATTTCAGGGAAGACCAAGTCTTTTCCCATATATACTCTGCTTATATACGAAAAATAAGTAACGTAGTCGATTGGTATAGCAAAAATACGTTTGCTTCATGGACAATCGCACTAGAGAACGAAATAGGGTGAATATATCTCATATAGCCAATGCGCAAGGTAATATTCATATGGCCTTACACACCAAGTAAAACAAACCAAACGATTTAGTCAAAATCGAAAGGGCGCATTGACCTAAAAACTTATAGGCAGGAATAAAGATTAGGAAATTTCTGATGTGAAAGACTTCCTAAAGATATCTGAAGCAGTAGCAGAAGCAAGCAAGCTTACCAGAGCACTGCCGTAGGTGGGCAGGTATTTAGGTTGCACCTGTTAGGCTGATCTCTATGGGGCTTGAACAATCAAACCAAGGTCCTCATGTACAAGACGATTGTCTCGACTAGTCTTGTTGGGGAATATAAGGCCTATATACTGTTAATTACATAAAGAAAATCTTCGGTTAGTCATAATTTAAATGTCATAAGAGAATGTTAAGAATACTGGTTCAATTTTGTCGAGTATAAGCTCCAGGGAAAATGTGAACAACATCCAAAGGCCAAATAAAGAATGGTAGTCATACAAGCAAAATGGAATTTAGAAGATCCATAAAAAGTAATACTCCTGGTTAGTTTGGTCGTAAGAAAGAGCTAGAATGCAGGAGCTTTGTTCGAGATACTCCATAAAATGGCATGTCCAGTCAATGATCGTGCATCCTGGCAAAGCGCTTAGATTCGACTGCACTAAGTGAAAGAGAAGCTCAATATATATTAACACAAAATTAATGCAACAGCATCGTGAAATTCTTATTTCCAGACGAATGGCAAAAGAAGGTAGTGACGCTAACAATATTAATAAAGAGCATTTAGATCAACTTAGAGGGTAAAATTTTCTCCCAGATCCAACGGCCAAAAAACGGGATCAAGCAGAGTTCAAAGTAAACAGTATCTTCACAGAATAGACGATGAGTGAGGCTAGAAATCTCCCTCAGAAGTTTAGTATATTAAATGGAAAGTAATAAGAGGACAGTGCGGCCCCAATAAGAAAATAGTTAAATCTAAATAATTGATAATTATGTCAGTTGCCTCTAACACTAATTCCTCACTTTAGGTTTATCGTCCAAATATGGAGTTCCATTGGGCTGAGACCAATATAGTTAATTCATATAAATGAAGAGCCCATAAAATACCTCTTGCTAGTTTTACTAGGAAGAAAAACAGCACACTTAGCATCAATGGTGCCTTAAAGAAAGGAGGCTTAACAAAGGGAAGAACGGGTTGTAGAACAAATAATTACCAAGTGAAAGCACCAATAGAGCCATGAAAGCAAGACTGTAGCAGGTGCGCATTAGCTTAAGTACAATATCCTAATTCTAAATAAAGAAAAACAAACAGTACGCAATAGGGCTCTGACAATACATTTCAAGAAAACTTAGTTGATATTGAGAAATGAGTATTGCATCAGTTGCGCAGGGAAAGCAACATCAAAATTCAACTGCAATATGGAGTGTGGTAGTTAAATGAGGCGAAATGAAATGTGATTGTCCTATAAAATCACTTCTCTCCTCTCTTTTAGCTCATATGAAAAGATATAAAAATGTGCAAAAAATGTCACAAAAAGCAATGAGGATAAAGGGTAGCAGAATGCCTAAAAGTTACACTTGGAAAAAAAAGTAATTTAGTATAAAAAACGGCATAAATAATTAAGGGCAAATAAGAATTACTCAAGGGACTCTTCGTCCAATAGTTAAGCATCTGCCAAACGCGCTGAACTCGTCGCTCTCGTGAGTCGAAGCATCGGCCGGTTCGACAGTAGCCAGTGACACAGGGTCGGCCATCATTCAAGTGTAATCGGACCAGACGCCCCCGCTGTTGGTGAAGTCGAATATGGCTCTGCTTATCAGTAGTTGATAAATAATTAGCATTGGTTTGCCCCGGGCGACCTGATTCTTTGGACATTCGGGGCTTAGACGTGGTAGAAGGTCCATTAACTATGTTGGCTGATGACCAGAAAGGGCGAGTGGAAAAATATGAAGGATATGAGGCGGGAATAGTCGATGGCAGAGAAGAAAAACCAGCTGTAGATGTTGCTAGTGGCGGATTCATGATCGAACCAAAATTCTGTGTAGAACTAAGGTTCGATTGGGTTGAGTTGGCAGAGGTGTTGAGACGAAGCGAGTAATTGGAGCCAGATGTTGATGGAATGGATTGATAGCGGCCGGTCTAGTAAAGAAATTAACAAAAAGAAAGAATAATACTTAAAAGTATGTATAAAAACTGGTTTTTGAAGACATCTCCGAAAGAAATACTTGAAAGTGTTCGACTGAAACTTACAAATCCAGGAAAATAAAACAGATCATATCTCATTCAAGAGCGTTGCTTAACTCCCTAAGTCGTCGTATAAGAACATATGTGCATAGGATTTATAAAATGTTTTATATCAGTCAACAAAACCAAAATATTTGTAGTGACTTTATATATGCAGAAAAAGTTAAAAATGGAGGATTCGGATAAATGAATTTATTTCAATCGAAATTATCGAAATGATGCCAGCATGATCAGGAAGTGGGACCTGCCCAATTTAACTTAAAAGCAATACGTGAGTTATGAATAACAAATGATAGAGCAACGTGAGATTCATGCAAGAATTTTACTTAATTCCTTCATCATAAAGACTATAGGCGTTTATCCGGGTTCTCGGTTAAATCTCAAGATGCGAATCGGTAAAATTGTTTAAGAAAGTAGAGAGCGAGCCTTTTGAGGAACACGAGATGTTGCCCAAAACGCACTTGAGTCTGATTCCTTGGTGGTTAAAAAATATCTGGCCCTCTCATTTTAGAATGCTATAAGGGAGTTGGCAAGAAATCTTCAAGATGCCTGCCTAATAACCAAAAAAATAGAATTTAATCACCACTAATGGCTAAAAATAATTCAGCATTTAAGTTAGTAGGACAAAAACTCAAAGCGGACTGTTAAACACATAATCGAACGAAAACTGCCCATATCTAGGAAATGGTGAGAAAATTATGATGAATGATAGCAATGCGTAATAGTAACGAGCCTAATCAGCCAAACAGCCCGAGCATAAGTTAGGCCACAGATGTGGCCTCTAAAATACTGGTGGATGTACCGATCAGACCCAGGCGAGCTAAAAATGCGGTTAATTCCTGATAAGAAAGCATTTTGGAAGACACTGCTAAATGAAAATTAATATTCAGTTCAGGGCTTTTCTTCCATTCAATACGATAGTTCAATTATCACGCCTTGTACTTAAAGTGACTAGAGTTAAATTAAATAAAAGCATAAAATATTATAAATGGGATCGCAAAGCCATAAAAAAGGAACCTATCCGTATAATAGTAAGGCTATAATTTTTTCTTTATTTCTAGATCTGCGACAACCCATCGTTGAAAAATAATTTATTTACAATAGGAATTTAATATATCCTATGAGAGATATAATTTATAATTAGTCAACAAAAAGAAGCTCAGTAATGGACGAAAAAAACTTTCAGTAGGCAAGAGATGATGAATTTGTAATTAAAATAAATTATAATGTTTGAGGTGCTTATGAAACCAAATCAAAGTCGAAAATCGAGTTCTGGATAGGAAATATTCTCGAGAAACAAGATAGATTAAAAAATAATGTCAGTTCTTCATACAGTTAAACCACCAGAATATGGACTAGGAAAGTTATATATCTTAATCCCAATTCCAATATTAACCTAAAAGAGCTGTTATGCCTTTACAAATTATAAATATGGTCAAGATTTGTTTGGAAAGTGGAGTTAATTTAGAGGAAATTTAGCAGATATAATGATGTATATAAAAAAGAAGTAGCATGAAGTAATTGAAAAAAGGTTAAAGTCGAAATTATTAAGGAAACTACAAGAGAGGTAAGTCTTTAAAAATAATATAATTGAAAAAACAGGCACCTTGCATAGGCGATTCATTTTTTGGTGTGCGGAGCCCCTGAATAGTGAAAAAGCAGAACCAGCGCGGACTACATGAGATAGATATGGCTTAATCTGTTAATTTTAAATTCACTTTGTAGCAGCAAAGATATATCCAAAATTTGTAAAACTAAGACTGATTATTGATCAAATAATTCTAGTCAATGATAAAATGAAATAAAATGTGACTTCAGTACCGACCTTTACAGGAAGGAAGGAGTAACGAGACTCATTTTGATTGGACCAGATGTCATCGATGCTAACCAGAACAGGTCGACAAGTCATTTGCTCAGTGGCCGTATCACGACGCATCTGTCGGTTAGGTATCCAGAGATCCGGGTCACTAACATCAGGGTTGAGGGATTGGACAAATAACGCCTTAATTCCAACTGAAGAATTGTTCGATGATGGGGAAGCAATACTCATCCATTCCTTATTGACCCGAATGCCTTGCTCAACATTCATCGTTCGTTCGTGGAAGCCAGTCCAGCCCTCCTTAGTCACTTCCATTTTAACTGCATTCTTCCCATCGGACCGCTCATAATTTGCCATACTCAATGAATCGTCTAGTTGTGATCCAGAGCTGGTAAAACGGTCGATTGGAAACACCTCGACCGATGGAAACAGACAACAGATGAAGCAAGAATTTTCGACTGAAAAACCGGAATAAAAGAAGGCATTTCAAGTAAATAAAGAAGGGAATGAAAATAATGTGGACAATTCTAAAGCTAAATATAAAACATGGTAATTATTGTAAAGAAAGGCATAGTTACAGTATAAAATGCAAATAAAATGAGCTTATATGAGGAAATTCGGTTAGTATGGAGATAATTAGGGTATGCATTAAGATAGTAAGCTGATACTCTCATATGCTTCCAAGATTAGTTGCTTTTTTATACGCCTAACTTCGGGATTTTAATGAAGCATTGCATGGTTTGGATGGCTATTCCAAATTTACTCTACATGCTTGCAAATGAGTGAAGCAACTTCCCGAACCGGATGTGCGTTCGGTGGCAGATTTTCATTATAAAAATACACTAGTGTACGATCCTCCAATGTTGATTCATGTTTGAGCATGTGCTATTGACTATTGAATGTATGCAATGCTCATGTCATGAGAAAGGTCATAGTCATAGCTAGACTCGAGGATAATCAAGCCTCCATCTCTTGCTTAGTAGGTCTTCATGCACCCCTCCCTCTCCCTTTCCTTAAGTCTATCCAACAGCCACAAATAGTTCCTACTTAGTTTTCTACATTCGTTCCTTCTATTCAGGACGTTGGTTGCTTTGTTAATTTCTATGGACTGCCGAATCTTACGCTTCGACGTGAAGTCCTCGTAACCCGCAAAACTTTGTGTTTTGGACGAGTATTGGCCAAATGTGTTCAGCGAGCCCAGATTTTCAGACCCACAGACCTTTACAAGCGGGTTTGGGTTCGCGAAGTCTCTTGCGAACGGGTGGACAGGTTTCTCTTACATACCTTGCCACATAAGGACAAAACCTTGCAACGGCCTGATATATAAAGAGGGTCTGAATATTCTCTAAACGAAGGAAATACTGAAGAAAGTGTTAATTTCTCTTTATAAAATGTTTGTATGTTCCACTTCTTCAGTAGATCATTCAACTTTTTCGCGGGGAGGCATCTCATTTTTGGGTCCTATGATTTGCCTCTATATTTGCCCATAAGTTAAGTTAAGTGGCTACGGATGACATATGAAGTGGCTATAGATGAAGCGTGAAATAGGTGCAATTGAAACATATAACGATTTATTTGTAGCTAGTTAAAGCAAATCTCTGAAACGTGGAAGGTTTTAGTCAAGAATTTGTTAAATTAGTCAATTAGCAGGAGATAGAAAATGGGGATTTGCTGGTAAGTTTTGATGTTGAGCCTATGTACACTAACATCCCTGTGGATGATGCCATACAGGCCCTGTAATCCACACTAGACCAACATGAGGACATTTTAATGAGCACGAAGTTAATTAAAGGGTCAATAAGGATACTGATCAACCTATGGATGTACTGTACATATTTTACCCTTAATGGTAAACTGTATGGACAAACACGAAGTCTAGCTATGGGATTGTGTTTGTCACAAATTTTAGCAAATAATTAATGGCTCAATTTGAGGAACTTTTAATTAAGGAGGCACTCTTAGTTCCTAGATTATTTGTTCGCTATATGGACGACTACTTTTCTGTTTGGCAACATGGCAAAGAAAACTTTGAGAATTTCCTTGGTTTTACGAACAGGATCGATTGGAAGAGGAAATTCACCATTGCGTAATAAAAGGTAGATAAAAAGATAGATCACTCTGCCAGGATCCTTATGCTGCCATCGTGTAATCTGTCGAAGATAGGTGAATCACTGAGGCGGTGGGACATCAGGACCATTTATGAAGAGAAAATAACGCTTTCCTCGGTATCGCCTTCTTTTAGAGAATACTCTGACCCGCTAACCAGATCGGGCTGTTACAGGACTTTGTGTTCATGTAGTAGTGCCTATGTGGGAGAGACCCGTAGACTCATACATAAGAGGTTATCCGAACATAAAACAGCCTGCAAGGGTATGTGCGTCCCAAAATCGGAATTGGCCGAACACATGGCTCGAACAGGACACCAGATAGATTGGTTCAATGCCAAAAGCTTATTTGTATATGGAAACTATACCATTAGGCGAAAGATTAGGGAGGTAATAGAGATCAACAAAACAGCCAATACCTTGAATAGAAGGAATGATCGTAGAAAGTTAAGCGGAAACTACTTGTGACTGTCTGAAAGGTTTAGAGGAAGGGGGAGAGAGAGAGAGAGAGAGAGAGGAGGGGAAAGAGAAGTACCA